AAGCAGGACAGGAACTGTATTCCCCAGCCTGGGATGAAAAACTGACACAGTTTCCATCAAATAAAAGATACATTATTACCCAACCCTGAAATGCAAATACTCACAGTGGTCCTTGAGTTACCTAAGAAAGCACCCGCCAAACATTAACCCCTTTAGTTCTTATAATTCCCCAAAAGTTCAGTCATTACTACTCACATTCTACTATGGGAGAAGCCCAAACACAAAGGGATTAAGAGATTTCAAGGTGATGAGCAGAGCTAAAGTCTGAATTTAAACATCACCTACTACCCAACTTTGTTTTAAAAAACAGTCCTAGACAAATGCAATGCAAGGTCAGAAGGTCAATCAGGCATGGGAGGGACTTCAGAAAGGGGTTCAGGGACTTTCCAGATGGTCCAGTGGTTAAGACTTAGCACTTCCACTGAAGATGGCACAGGTTCCAGCCCTGACTGGGGAAGTAATATCCCTCAAGCTGGGCAGCACAGCCCAAAAACATTAATACAAGTATTGAAAGAAAGGAAGGAAGGAAGAGAGAAAGAGAGAAAAGAGAGAGAAGGAAAGAAGAAAACTAAGAAAGAAAGGAATGTGATGCAAAAGAGCTCACTGAGGGGTGTTTTAGGAACTTAAATGCTGATTCTGGTCTTGGCTCTTTTAACAAGGCCCATCCCCTCACTGCAGAAAGTGAGCAAGACTAATGGCTGAGGAACAGAACACCACACAGGAACTGCTCACCTAGGGACGGCACAATGGCCACAGAGAAATCAAAACCCTTGTAAAGTGTCTCATTTCAGCATGTAAAAGTCAGCCAAAAGGTCACCCAAAAGTCGCCCAAAAGGATGGACCAAAGACCACAGAAATGTCCCTGGACTCAAGATCTGTCCTGTTCAGTGGAACAACTCAAAGTCACGTGTTAAAAGAGGCAGTAAAGGATACATGTGCATGCATGCTAAGTTACTTCAGTCGTGTTTGACTCTGTGCAACACTATGGACTATAGCCCGCCAGATTCCTCTGTCCATGGGATTCTCCAGGCAAGAATACTGGACTGGGCTGCCATGCCCTCCTCCAGGGGATCTTCCCGACCCAGGGATCGAACCTGCATCTCTTATGTCTCCCGCATTGTCAGGCAGGTTCTTTAACACTGGTACCACCTGGGAAGCCTACAGAGCATACTGCCTGGGTTCGAATCCCAGTTCCACCAACCACTAGACACGAGACCTTAAAGGAGTCACAACCTCTATGCCGCTAATGTTCTCATCCATAAAAGTGGCAAGAGTAAGCATTCATTAACCATGCCTGCTGTTGTTATTACTCAGAAAGTTGTCCCACGGTTGCTTTTCTGACACTGTCCTAACATCGTGGTATAATTGATAGTGTACCCCTTTCCCATCACTAGAGCAAAATTTTGCCTTCAACCAAGTGTGCTTGAGAAAAAAAAAAAAAAAAAAACAGAACAATAAACAAATAAACAATAAATAAACATTAACTATTTCATTAAATGATGTGTGGCAGCTAAAAACCAATAAGCACTCACAGAATCCACATTCAAAAGGAAGAGGAAGGTATTTAAATCTATAGCTTAAACCAACTGTTTTCCTACAAAAAGTACATTTACATTGTTTGAGATATTCTCCCCAATGAAGAAACAGGTATGAGTTTCATTTTTAAAAGATACAAACTATGAAAATGCACTGATTAATTTCCATGCTATTTCAGATTAGTTTTACGATCAAATAACATTCCACTTAAAAGATCAATTTAACATTTAAATCACTAGGAAGTAAGCTATCTTTAGTTCAAATATGTAATTTTAGGACTTCCCTGGTGGCGCAGTGGATAAGAATCTGCCTGCCAATTCAGGGAACACAAGCTGGATCTCTGGTCTGGGAAGTTTCACATGCAGTGGAGCAACTAACCCCATGTGCTCTAGAGCCCACGTTTCCCAACCAATGAAGGGTAGCCCCCTCGCATGGCAACCAGAGCAATACCTTGCATAGCAACCAAGACCCAGCACAACCAAAAACAAATAAATAAAACTTTTTTAAAAAGAGGGACCAGAGAGCTGGTGAAAGTTTATTTTTTAAAACAATTTCATTATAATTTTGGGGTGGCATTTTCATCAAGTTTCTTTAATTTCATTAATTAGCAACAGTGACCTCTAACGTTTTATTATACACTAAGCACCTAATAAATTAGGCCCTAATTTCTACGTATTACCTCATTCTCTTAATCCTCTGAGGAAAGTATAGGCTCATTTTACAGAAGAACCCCAGCCTTGATGCTGACTATTTACGGTTCTGATTGCCAGTACCTGTATATAAAGTTTTAACGCTAAAATGATATAGAGCTTCCCTGGTGGCTCACTGATAAAGAACCAGCCTGCCAATGTAAGAGATGCAAGAAACGTCTGATCCCTGGGTCAGGAAGATCCCCTGGAGAAGGAAATGGCAACTCGCTCCAGTACTCTTGCCTGGAAAATCCCATGGATAGAGGAGCCTGGCGGGCTACAGTCCATGGGGTCGTGAAGAGTCGGACACGACTGAGCACATATACACAGGTATAAAGTTTTAATACTAAAAATGATTACAGAAAGGTAAATCTCAAACTCTAACGTGCAAGAGAAATCGTGGCGAATCTTGCTAAACTGTAGATTATGATTCATAAGGTCTGAATGAAGCCTATGATTCTACAATTCTAACAAGCTCTTAGGTGCTAGGAGTACTGCCAACCACACTTGTAGCAAGGACCTACAGGTAGCAATAAGCCACAGACCACCAAAAAATGTCTCTAAAGACTAAAACAAAATTTTAAAAAATCAAATTTTTCACAAAAGCCACAGAATTAGAACTTATATTAAAATATTTCTTGATGGGATATTGCAACATCTTAGAAATATCTTCAGGGACTTCTCTGGTGGTCCAGTGAATAGGACTCCAAGCTTCCAATGCTTCCAAGGCAGGAGAGATGGGTTCGATCCCTGGTCAGGGAACTAAGACCCCACATGCTATATGGGGCAGCCAAAAAAAAAAAATCTTCATAACGACTCTTGTTTTCTTTCTCAGTTTCAAGAGTCCAATTTCTTGGAGTTTTGTGGAGGGGTTTTCCCCCTAAAAACCCTGATTTTTTAATCAAGGCTGAAAAGCTAAATGCATGGGAGACTATTTCATGTTGCCATACCCTTCAAGCAGATCCCTGTCCTTCACTCACCCACATATAACACAACCTCTCACTGTTTAAATTCTAGAGGCAAGAGTTAGTGGAGATTTTAGGAGCTGGACACCAAAGTTCTTCCAGATGAAAAGTAAAGTTCTACTAAAAATAGCACCTTACAAAAAGGCAGTGATAAATACCATTTATCATTGGCTTCCATTTATGGCCTTAGGTGACAAAATTCCAGCAATGAGGTGGTAGCTAACATTCTATACAAACTACTGGATTTCATTCTTTTACCAGATCCCTTAAGTGGCAAGGTCTATTTACTTTCAAAAGTCCAGAATGAACAAAGCAAGGTACTTAACAAGATCCCTAAATTCCACCTGGGTCCAAGTTCCCTTTCTCCCAGCTCTTTTATTCACTGGTGATTATCTGTACTGTGATTATTGTACTCAAACATCAGCTAGCTGCCTCTTCTAAATGGCACCTCCCCCACCTTCTCCATTCTCTTCACTAACAGCAATGCCTAAGTCCAGAACCAATATATCTCTGAGAACATTCCAGTTTACCAGATAAGGTCAGTTTAAAATTCTAGAGAGGAATAACCTGCTCCGTTTGTCTTTCCTGAGAGCCCTTCAAAAACTACCATCTCACAATCAGCAGAACAAGCCTTTCACCCAAAAGAAAGATAAAACAGTCTATGATTCTGCAATTTACAAACACTGAGACCTTTATTGAAAGGATAGTCACATTAAATGATTCCCAAGGAGCCTTTACCGACGTGCGCAAGTAAGTACAAGGAGACCAATGCTTGGAAGAAACAAAATGCATATACCGTGCAGGTCCGTGCAAATGGCTTCTCTAGCTGAGAAGTCAATGAAGTTTTGCTAAGCGGCCTCAGAGGAAGGCCTACCTGTGTCAGGGAATACCGGGACACAGTTTTGTCCCAACCCAAGCATGCTCTATCCACATCAGAGCTAAGCAACCAACCAAACAGGCTCGTTAGAAACCCACGAAAGAGGGGCAGAGGGGACAGGACCCTGCCCTGAACGCCCTGGAAGCTAAAAATAAGTATTCTGAGGAACGAGCTCTACCATAGACAAGCCCAACAGAAAGTTCTCTGTTTCTATTACCTCCAAAACTGGCTGCCCTCCCGCAGTGATTTAACTCTGGGTACCAATCGGGCAATGCCAGCCACCGTGCTGGGGCGGAGGATTCAGAGATGCCGGTTCTATCTTCTGGGCTAATTAGAAGGAATCAAAACCTCTGCAATATAAACTGGAGACTCTGCGGGCAGAGTCGGGCTCCCTCAATGCTTCTAGACTACATGCCTCCATTCAACCAACATTTATCTGAGCGTCTACCATATGCTCAGCACTCTGCTGGGCACCGGAGGAAGAAATCTTCCCCAGTAGTGGAGGCAGAGACAAACGAGGACGGTCCGGAGGAGTGGAGGACGTGCGGCCGCCGAAAACCAACACAAGTTGTTGCTATGACCAGCAGCACCCAGGGGAAGGCGTGACCCCCGCCGGGTTCCGCGCACCACCAAGTCCGACAGTGAAAGAGGCCCGCTATAGCGAAGGCTGGCGTGGACAGGTAGGCCCGGGGGCAGGTGTTCAGGTAGAAGGCGCACACCTGAGGCGGCAGGGGTCGGGAAGGCGGGGTCCCCAGGGGAGGAGGGAGGGAGGCCCGGGGATCTGGCTAGAAGAGGGGGCGCAAGGAGTCGGGAGATGGGAAGCCCGGGGCGCGGTGGAGGCCGGCCGGGCCTGCGCCCCCTGAAGCGGGAGCAGCGAGGGAAGGCGCGCGGCTAGGCCGCCCGCCCGCACCTGGGGCCCCGCCCGGCACCTACCACTTGGGCGACCTTGAGGCAGCCGAGCGCGCCGCGCAGGTAGTCGGGGTCGCAGCGCAGGCCGGCCAGCCCGCGGCGCTGGCTCACCGGCTCGGTGGTGGGCTGGTACGGGCTGCTGGCGCCCGAGATCATGGAGGTGCTCGAGGCCTCGCCCTCGAAGCCGTCCAGCTCCTCGCCGCTCCGCATGCTGCCGCCCGGCCCAAGCCGCCTCGCGCGGCTGGCTCCCGGCGCCCGGAGCTGGCGGGCTCAGCAGGGCCGCCGCATTGCCGCCGCCGCCGCTGCCGACGGAGACGACGACAGACTGACTTCCCGCACCAGCGCCGCCGCCGCCTTTGCACCCGCCGCCCCGCTGCGGCCGCGGTTCGGTCCGCTCGGGCTCGGCTCCCGCCGCCTCAGCAGCGGAAAGGGAGGGAGGCGGGAGCGAGTGGAGAGAGAAGGAGGCGGGAGCCGGCGCGGCGGGCCGGGAGGGGGCGGAGCGAGCGCCCGCCCGCTGGCCGCTCAGCGGCGCTCTGCTCCGCGGCTCCCGCGAGGGGAGGCGGCGGCCAGCGCCGCGGGGCCTCGGAGAGGCGGGGCCTCTAGCCAGGCGGGGCTGGGGGCGGGGCTCCGGGAACTCCGGTCCCGCCCTCACCTGCCCGAGCGGGGGCCCGGGCCGCGGCTGCGCGTCAGGCCATCACGGCGTGGGAGTGCAGGGGTCCAGGAGATTGGGGATTGTAGGGACCCGGGACAGTGGGGGCTGTCGGAGGGTTGAGGTGGGCCTAGGGGGGCACTGTGTTGCTTTCTCAGGGCGCTGCCTCAGTTTCTCCCCTGGAGGAAGTAGGCTAGAGGACTTTCTGGTGAAGGCCAAGATGTGCGGCCTCAGTGCTGAGAACAGTAAGAAGTCCCGGGTGGACTTGACTTGGACTGTTTGACTGACAAGAGGGGGCTCAGTGTCTGGGCTCCCACACCGGGCAACAAACCGGTTCTGAGGTCAGGGACACGAGTGAGGAGAAATCAGGGTGAGTGAGTGAGGGGGGTCGTTTAGTACCGGGTCTGCAAGACACACACACAGTAAGATTTGTGAATAACTCCCAGTGTACGTTCTGGGTCCACCTGCCGGACCGAGGAGTGGCCTCTTGCCCATAGGAGACACTTGGTGACGAACATTAGTTTCCTCTCTTAGATGCAAAGTTTTTGCCATCTCTGTCTAATCATCAAGACAAGTAAAACACAGATTTTTTACACTGACGGGCATTAATTAGGGGCCAATTTGCAATTCAAGTGTGAAGGCTAATTTTGAGCTTAAGTAAAACACTGACTTTCTAAGAATTGTCACTTTGGTATTGAACCCTTCCACACCTCAAATATCTAGAGCTTATCATGCTCTGAGCACCGAGGAAGACATTTGAAAGTGTTATTCCCATTTTATAGAAGACTTGAGTAAGGTTTCAGACTGGTAGTCCCAGGCCACACAGTTGGTAGGCAGAGCCGGCTCATGTCCAATTTTTTTTTCACTACACATTGTTCAGTTCAGTTCAGTTCAGTTGCTCAGTCATGTCTGACTCTTTGTGACCCCATGAACCGCAGCACGCCAGGCCTCCCTGTCTATCACCAACTCCCGGAGTCTACCCAAACTCATGTCCATTGCCTAGTATATATTTCAGATGAGGTTGTGAAGTGAGAAGCAGTAAATGCCGTGACTAAGGAGATCTCAATTTAAACAGCTCTCACCTTTTAGTTACCAAAGGTGGGAAAGACAAAGACTCTAACACTCTGTTCAACCAACAAATATTTATTGGGCACTTCTGTGCTAAAGGATATGTTAAGACCTGGAGATTGCCAGTGAAAGACAAGGTGAATGACTGGATGCAGGCTTTGGCCTCTGCTTTCTTCCCAAATCCCAGTGAAATGACAGTTAGACGGATTTATGTTTTAAAGGCATAAAACCACAGGGACAAAGAATGAGAGAGGAGACAATGGCAACAAAATGTTGGAAGCAGAAGAGCAAAGGGGCAAGTGGTAACTGACTTAGCAGATCCAAGAAAGCTAAACCCTAAGCTGGTACAGGGGAAGGCTGAAATGCAACCTAGGTCATATCACAAGAAAAAAGGCTTGGGAATCATGACATCACCAAGCACATCTAGAAGTGGGGGTGAAAGCAGAAATCTAAAAAACAAACTAAAAAAAGACCTCAACTGAAAGTCTTTTAAGAAGCAAATGGATTCCTGGATCCCCTCCCTTGCCCATCCCCCACAACTAGAACTTTTTTCTCTGGAGAAGGTAAGACAGAGAGTCCCTTAGCTAGGGAACACTAGGCACAGTTGAGGGTAAGGGGTACCATATTAAAAATTATATGTATTTGTGTCCTTGGATATTAAATAATATGAAAGCAAAACAAATTTTAATTCGTTATGAGTTAAAGCATTACTTTGCCAACAAATGTCCATCTAGTCAAGGCTATGATTTTTCCAGTGGTCATGTATGGATGTGAGAGTTGGACTGTGAAGAAAGCTGAGCGCTGAAGGATTTATGCTTTTGAACTGTGGTGTTGGAGAAGACTCTTGAGAGTCCCTTGGACTGCAAGGAGATCCAACCAGTCCATCCTAAAGGAGATCAGTCCTAGGTGTTCATTGGAAGGACTGATGCTGAAGCTGAAACTCCAATACTTTGGCCAACTCCAATGAGTTGACTCATTGGAAAAGACCCTGATGCTGGGAGGGATTGGGGGCAGGAGGAGAAGGGGACAAGAGAGGATGAGATGGCTGGATGGCATCACCAACTCGATGGACATGAGTGTGAGTAAACTCCAGGAGTTGGTGATGGATAGGGAGGCCTGGCGTGCTGTGATTCATGGGGTCACGAAGAGTTGGACACGACTGAGCGACTGAACTGAACTGAACTGATGAATTAAAGAAAATCTCACAGGAAAAAGAATCAAAAGACAAAGAGGTGGAAAATGAGAGAAAAGAAAAAAGAGACTAATAGAATAATAAGACTCTCATAAAGTTAGAACAGAGAATATGGAGGGAAGAAAACAAAAAATAATAATTCGGGAACATGTTTACAGAGCCAAAGGATATGAGTTTTGGATTTAAAGGACCCATCAGTGCCCAGCACAATGAATCAACATGGACCAGCATCAGATACAGCAGATCACTGGGGCAAAGAGAAGAGCCTCAAGGTTCCAGACAACTGAGCAGATTTCATTATAAAGGATCAGGAATCAGAAAAGCATCAAGAAAGAAAGAGAAAGGCATCAGACCTTTCAAAAGCAACTTAGAGAAGTACAAGGGAATGGAGTAAATCATTCCATATCCTGAGGAAAAATGACGCCTATTTAGAAGTCTGATTCCAGCTGGAGTATCAGCTGGGTATGATGACTTATGAAAGACTCCTTCTGTCTCTTCTCAGGAGGCTGCTGGTGACCACCACGAGTACAAGGATTTAAACCAAAGAAGCAGAGGACATGGGATCCAGGAAAGGGTGGATGCAGCCTAGGGAGAGGTGATAAGGGTCCTTATGGTGGGGGGGACATAGGCCCCTATGCAGCAGGGCTGGGGGTTAACCAGACCAGATTAGAGCAGCTAGAGGCTTCGGGAGACACCTTCAAGATGAAATTATTCAGTTCGTCAAAAAATTCGTTCAGGTTTTTCACCATCTTACCCAAAGAACTTTTTGGCCAATCCAGTAAGAATGTGTCTGAATATACAGAAAAGAAAGATTCATAGTTTCAGTAAAGTTTTCAGATAAATTAGTGAAAAATGTGTGCTTCCCAGGTGGCTCAGTGGTAAAGAATCTGCCTGCCCATGCAGGAGACGCAGGAGACGTGGGTTTGATCCCTGGGTTGGGAAGACCCCCTGGAGGAGAAATTGGCAACCCACTCCAGTATCCTTGTTGGGAAAATCCCATGGACAGAGGAGCTTGATGGGCTACAGTCCATGGGGTCGCAAAGAGTCGGACATGACTGAGTAACTGAGCCCACACACACATACAGGGATAAATGCACAGAAAATTAAAGAAATATTCATAGATGAACTGTGGGGAAATAAAATGATACATAGAAAAGAAGTATGGTAAATCACAGGTGAATAATACCTGCATAATTATAAGAATGTAAACAATGAGTGCTGATCTAACCACAGTACCTGGTCATATTAGGAAGAAAGGACAGAGAGACAGAATGTGTCCATGTGGGATAGGAAGAAGGGGAAGATGGGCAAGAGACCTAAATACTCATCATCCATGCTTAAAACTCAAGAGGTAGCAGTATATGCATGTCAATTAAAAAGATAATGGTAAAGGGACTTCCCATATAATTATGAATACGATTGGTTAAAAGTTTTGAAATGTCAGTTCTGGGAAGCAGGAAATGTAATGGGGGTTATAGGCCTTGTAGAACTATTTGATTCTCTCAACGATGGGTTCATGTCATTTTTATGTGTTCATATAATTTTAATAAATGCTAGATCTTAAATGATTTTTTAAAAAGAAACTTGAGCATTTGATATCATCCCTGCCAGCACAGACGTGGGGAACAAGCATTGAAACCAGTAAAATGTGCTGAGAATTGTTCATGGTGGTAAGGGAATTTCCAGGAAGGATTTCACTGAGTCTGTGGGTCAGAATTTCAGTTGAGGTCTGAAATAGGAAAAGCAGTTAGCAAGGCAAAGAGATGATAAGGATTGGTGGAAAAGTGTTTCAGCAAGAGGGAACAACATGCACAAAGACCCAGAGATAAGTGAGAAAGCAAAGCACAATGAAGAGGGTGAAATGTGGCTTTGGGCGTCCCTGCAGGGCCTCGGGGGCCATGTAAGAGGATGGATTAAGCAGTGTTAAGCAGAAGAGTGACACCTCCCTCTAGAATGTTCTCTTGGCTTCATCAAAGGAGATAGATTGAGCGGAAGCAAGACTGGAGGCTCCTCTCCAGTCCTCATTAACTGTTCCCTGTTCCTGGACACTAGCCTACATTTATTTTTAGTTCTAGGGACACATGCAAAATTTTTCCTTCTGGTTTTTAACAAAAGTTCACAGACTTTCAATGGGCGTTGTTGGGAATCCCACATACTAGATAAAACTTGGCATCGTTGCCTTCCTCAAGTGGTCAACTGTAATAGAGCATGAGCTTGTGGCTAGAGCTGTGCCTCCAGGTGTCTGCAAATGCTGAAGACAAAATGAAGATGAGAAATGACAGAGAGGTGGGTAGCCCTCAGGTCCCTGGGTTCCGGCATCTGGTCCACCTATCCAGGCCTTGCTCAAGGAAACCAGACTCAGAAGATATTGATGAAGGAACCAGACGCTACTTCACTCATTGCTGCCAGTGGATAGCCTCTGCCAGCAAATATAATGCTGATTCTTAGCTCAGTCCCTGAACTCATTGTGAAAGAGCTGCTCAAAGC